ATTTTGGTGGCTGGCTGGTATGGGGATCCAAACCCTTCACTTTGGTGTTATCAACACCATTCTCTACCCAGTGAGTTAACTGGCCAGCACCTTCTTACCAGCATTTTTTAGAAGTTTAATTTTCATTAAAGTTTTATAGTTGACAAGTCACAATAATGCAGCCTCAGGGAATTAGATATGTGGTACAGCACTTGCAGTGACACAGGTGCTCAGATGTGAGCAGATAGTGTGTTACATCAGGTTACTACACAGAGATGGAATGTTCTGCTGTCTTATTCAGTTTATCTTAAGGCAGGGCTCTGAACAGTGCCTCTACCCAGATATTTTCTGTGGCACTTTTTAGCTTTTACTGAAAAATTGGACTTTAAATGGACACTTCTAGCTTACTCAGTCTGCCACTGATGTCTTGTCCCTAAACTGTTCCTCTTAACCTCATTCATAGTTTTGCAGCTTGAGACCAGTAAACCCTTTTTTCCCGCCAAATTCTTATACTCACTGTTTATTTTCTCTGCATACAAAATTCTTCCTCCCTTCTGATGCTCAGGATTTATTTATTTATTTTTTTTCCTGCCTTAAGTGCCTCATGTGGTGCTATACCTCTTTCCTGACTCGGTTTGGTGTCATCTTTTTTGAAAACTGCTCTTGCCTTCAGTAATCTCCTCTTTCTCTAAGTATCTGTAAACACTGGTGTTCATTTCCAGTGGCTGTTGCTTCTTTTCTGTCCTACATAGTGGAGGGATTTGGTTCACTGCTTATGTGCCACACAGTGAGTGAGGGTGTAAGGTGTAAGGTGAGGTATACATATAGTTAAAAACGAAAAGTAAAACTAGGCCAATTTGGATGTGCTTTGTATCGTTACATACTTTTCATTTTTCAAATTGTGAAAATACAGGCAGGACCTTTGTGTTCAACACCGAGCTTTTGTTGTGTGCTTTTATGTAGGTACATCTTCCAACTGACAAGAGTCAGTTCATGTTGTAAAAATCTGTTCAGTTAGCTACTCAGGATTTGAAAACACTATTATGTGTAGTGTTAAGTCAAAAGGTCAGCACTCAAAAGCTTATTTTACCAGAATGTACCAGAGAGGAAGATTGTTGTTAAGTGTTCTGTAAAATTCACTCATGATGTGTACTAGTGTATCTGTGTGAGATTCATTCATAGTCCCAGTGTGTGTGCATGTGGGTGTGTGTGTGGTGGGAGTGAGGTGGCAGGAACACGGTGGTGGTAAGGTTGGTAAGGCTTTCATCACACGGGTGAGCAAAGCTGTTTGTTGCAATGCAGTTCATTGTAACTATAGACGATGGAACAAAGAGAGACCATCCATATGTGCTGCACTGTAGTGTACGGAATAGAACAGTATACTATAGAAAGAATGAGGCAGATCTACATGTAATATGAAACAGTCTTCAGGAGAGATGTAGCAAAAAACCCCAGTAAACAAAGGAGACCTACTTAGATCTGCATAGTCTGTCTCTGGAAGGATCTGTAAGAGGCTGGGGAAGAGAACTGGGGTCATGGGGAGCTCGTTTTGCACTGCATTCTCATTGGTACCGCTTGCATTTTTTTACACTACATTCATATTAATGTTACTTTTTAAAAAGTGCCACGTTTCCTCAGCATCTTGTACTGNGTCTCCTTCATGTTTCAGATCTCTTTGACCAAGAAGTGCCCAGGCCCTTTTAAGGGCTCATCTTGTTATGTCAGGCCCACCCACGATAGTTAGCCTCTCTCTCTAAGGTTAACTGATTTGGGACCTTAAATCACATCTTGAAAATCTCTTCTCAGCAGCACCTAGATTAGTGTTTGATTTAATAACTGGGCGAAGGTACATGCACACCAGGAGCCATAAGTCTTAGGGGCCATCTCAAAGTCCTGCCTACCATATACAGTACAAAGTGATTCTTTCTCACCTCAACCTCTAAGTGCACTCCGCAGTGCTACCCACTTTCAATAGTCTGTCACTACCTTTGAGACATTTCCATCCATATTCATATATATGTAGGAACATAGGAATATATGAAATACATATATNTTTTTTTTTTTTTTTTTTAAGGGTTTCTTAACCTACACCAAGCTCTGTTTGCCACTAGAGGGATTCAGTCAACTCTTGGTCAGCTCTTGTCCTCTTGTTATTTTACCTTCAACAATGTCCTGCTAATTTATTAAAAACTGTTTCCAGTGTAAAACCAGTTTTGGAAATCTGACTAGTCAAGTGGTACCAGTGGAAAATATTAAAAACAACTATTTATATTACTTTTATATGACTCATGCAAACTTCCTGATTAAAACATTTATTCACTGAGATTTTAAGTAGGCTTTTTGGCAGATGTTCAGAAACACAGTAAATGAATAAATGAAGGCAGATTTTTGATGTGAACTTACATAAATGACAGAAATTTAACCTATTTTTTTCTAAACAAATTTTACTTATCAACCTAACTGCTTACTAAGCAGCATTTCACAAAATCTAATTATATGCTATCATTATATTAAAAACCAAAAACCACTTTCTTACTACTAATTTTTACTTTTTTTATTTTGGTGGCTGGCTGGTATGGGGATCCAAACCCTTCACTTTGGTGTTATCAACACCATTCTCTACCCAGTGAGTTAACTGGCCAGCACCTTCTTACCAGCATTTTTTAGAAGTTTAATTTTCATTAAAGTTTTATAGTTGACAAGTCACAATAATGCAGCCTCAGGGAATTAGATATGTGGTACAGCACTTGCAGTGACACAGGTGCTCAGATGTGAGCAGATAGTGTGTTACATCAGGTTACTACACAGAGATGGAATGTTCTGCTGTCTTATTCAGTTTATCTTAAGGCAGGGCTCTGAACAGTGCCTCTACCCAGATATTTTCTGTGGCACTTTTTAGCTTTTACTGAAAAATTGGACTTTAAATGGACACTTCTAGCTTACTCAGTCTGCCACTGATGTCTTGTCCCTAAACTGTTCCTCTTAACCTCATTCATAGTTTTGCAGCTTGAGACCAGTAAACCCTTTTTTCCCGCCAAATTCTTATACTCACTGTTTATTTTCTCTGCATACAAAATTCTTCCTCCCTTCTGATGCTCAGGATTTATTTATTTATTTTTTTTGATGTGAACTTACATAAATGACAGAAATTTAACCTATTTTTTTCTAAACAAATTTTACTTATCAACCTAACTGCTTACTAAGCAGCATTTCACAAAATCTAATTATATGCTATCATTATATTAAAAACCAAAAACCACTTTCTTACTACTAATTTTTACTTTTTTTATTTTGGTGGCTGGCTGGTATGGGGATCCAAACCCTTCACTTTGGTGTTATCAACACCATTCTCTACCCAGTGAGTTAACTGGCCAGCACCTTCTTACCAGCATTTTTTAGAAGTTTAATTTTCATTAAAGTTTTATAGTTGACAAGTCACAATAATGCAGCCTCAGGGAATTAGATATGTGGTACAGCACTTGCAGTGACACAGGTGCTCAAATGTGAGCAGATAGTGTGTTACATCAGGTAGTAACACAGAGATGGAATGTTCTGCTGTCTTATTCAGTTTATCTTAAGGCAGGGCTCTGAACAGTGCCTCTACCCAGATATTTTCTGTGGCACTTTTTAGCTTTTACTGAAAAATTGGACTTTAAATGGACACTTCTAGCTTACTCAGTCTGCCACTGATGTCTTGTCCCTAAACTGTTCCTCTTAACCTCATTCATAGTTTTGCAGCTTGAGACCAGTAAACCCTTTTTTCCCGCCAAATTCTTATACTCACTGTTTATTTTCTCTGCATACAAAATTCTTCCTCCCTTCTGATGCTCAGGATTTATTTATTTATTTTTTTTCCTGCCTTAAGTGCCTCATGTGGTGCTATACCTCTTTCCTGACTCGGTTTGGTGTCATCTTTTTTGAAAACTGCTCTTGCCTTCAGTAATCTCCTCTTTCTCTAAGTATCTGTAAACACTGGTGTTCATTTCCAGTGGCTGTTGCTTCTTTTCTGTCCTACATAGTGGAGGGATTTGGTTCACTGCTTATGTGCCACACAGTGAGTGAGGGTGTAAGGTGTAAGGTGAGGTATACATATAGTTAAAAACGAAAAGTAAAACTAGGCCAATTTGGATGTGCTTTGTATCGTTACATACTTTTCATTTTTCAAATTGTGAAAATACAGGCAGGACCTTTGTGTTCAACACCGAGCTTTTGTTGTGTGCTTTTATGTAGGTACATCTTCCAACTGACAAGAGTCAGTTCATGTTGTAAAAATCTGTTCAGTTAGCTACTCAGGATTTGAAAACACTATTATGTGTAGTGTTAAGTCAAAAGGTCAGCACTCAAAAGCTTATTTTACCAGAATGTACCAGAGAGGAAGATTGTTGTTAAGTGTTCTGTAAAATTCACTCATGATGTGTACTAGTGTATCTGTGTGAGATTCATTCATAGTCCCAGTGTGTGTGCATGTGGGTGTGTGTGTGGTGGGAGTGAGGTGGCAGGAACACGGTGGTGGTAAGGTTGGTAAGGCTTTCATCACACGGGTGAGCAAAGCTGTTTGTTGCAATGCAGTTCATTGTAACTATAGACGATGGAACAAAGAGAGACCATCCATATGTGCTGCACTGTAGTGTACGGAATAGAACAGTATACTATAGAAAGAATGAGGCAGATCTACATGTAATATGAAACAGTCTTCAGGAGAGATGTAGCAAAAAACCCCAGTAAACAAAGGAGACCTACTTAGATCTGCATAGTCTGTCTCTGGAAGGATCTGTAAGAGCCTGGGGAAGAGAACTGGGGTCATGGGGAGCTCGTTTTGCACTGCATTCTCATTGGTACCGCTTGCATTTTTTTACACTACATTCATATTAATGTTACTTTTTAAAAAGTGCCACGTTTCCTCAGCATCTTGTACTGTACTCAAAAGTAGGATAGCAGTGCCTCGGAATTAGCACAACTTCTCTTGTACCCCTCCTCCTTCGTTCCCTACTGTTGTAAATGGCGAGTGTGTATTTGTGTTACAACTTGGGACAGTAGAGGGAACACCAGCTTTGCAATCAGATCAGACCTGTGTCTGCATCCTACTGACGGGTATGATTTTGGGTAAGTTACTCAACCTGAGTCCTAATTTTCTCACCTAGGCTGTGGGAATGATAATATGTATAGCTCAGATGTGCTGTAAGGAAGTACTTAATAATATATAGGGCATATAATAGGAGTTCTGTAAATGATTACTACCTCTTAATTGGGTGACTGAGGGATTGTTCATGTTTTAAAATCCCTGCTTTTCCAATTATTCTGCAATTGGAGCATTCTTAACATTTCTATTTCTCCAGACGTGCTACAGTGGAGCATACGTAATTTTGTGTGCCTTCTTTGCTCTTAGATTGTTTTTTAAGTGAAATTGCTTATTTTCCCTTTTTAATACTATAAACTATTTTAAATAAAAGCAATGTTCTTTGTCCTCCTGCTTATTAATGGGAGTTTACTAATTTCTTAGAATTTTTTTGTGTCTGTGGCTAAGTGTATTGCTGTACATTATAGGCTTGAATATTTTATTATTCGCTTATGCAGATATCTATCCAGCAAGAAAGCCACAATTTTAAACATCAGTCAGTAGTGTGGACTGCAAGTCAAAACTTGGTGATAATGACAATATTAGAACCCTTTATTAAAGTGAATATATGTGTATTATTTAGACATGAGTTTTGGGGGTAATGTTTCTGTTTTCTTTTAAGTCTTATTTTTTTTTTCTTTTCCAGCTCTTTCAGTCTAATATGGCAATGAAAACAGCTTGTATGTCCTCACAAGCATCTGATGATGAACAGAGAGTAAGTATATCTTTTAAATAGGTCACATATTGTACTCTTAAGTACTTCTATTATTTCAAAATAACGACTCAGAACTGACAGACTTTTGTGATAGAGGCTTCTGTTTGTAGTTATACCTTGAATGTGAATTAACTTTTCTGTTCATTCAAGTGAAAAATCAATGATTGAGGAATTGTTGAGTGTCCATGACATTCCTATCCTATTTGACATTAAGTAAATTTTTTTTCTGTTTCTTTTTTTATTTGTTATTTATTTTTGGTTCTTTATCTTTGCCATTAAGCAAATTAAAACTCCAAGTGTGTCAACAGCATTCAGCAGAAAGACTAGCACTACTTTTACTGGGCACATGGCAGAATGTAGTGGGTGCTGAGAACTGCTTTGAATGACAGAGCGTACGGAACAGCTGGGTGGCCCACCAGATGCCTTCCTTATGGCAGGATTAGACCTGAGGCTTCCAAGTCCCTCAGAGCATGCCAGTATAGTTGGGATAGTTTTGATAATACATATTAATTTTTTTATTTGAAACTTAATTGACTGTATGTATTTGTGGGGTACAGAGTTGACTATCAGTACTAATGTACAATATGTGATGGTCAAATCAGTATAATTATCTTATTAAAATTTATATTTAGAAATAGGGAGTAAATTTAACTTGGTGAGTCATTGTTTTAATTAAAAA